CAGACGAGGCGTTCCACCGTAATTTTGACAGGCGGATGTCACTTGATGCGGCGGGCCCCGTCTGGTCTGATACAACATCGTTTCTACTTTCAGCCATGTGTTTTTATGCGCTAAACATTCTGCTCAAGGGGATGTAGTTGTTTTATCCTTCGCCCTTCGTTTTTTTGGCGACCTTTGCTTTCTGCGGCGCCCTTTGTTTTTTCCTGGCGCCCTTGAGTTTTTTCCTGCGCCATTCGTTGTTGTTTTTTTCCGCTCTTCCTTTGCTTCTCAGTTGTTCAACGTTCGCTATCAACCCGCTGTCTCTTTTGCCCATATCCTTCTTTACCCTGTCCGTCCTCGCCTTCCCCCGCCCCCGCTTCGTTTTCTAATTTGTTGTCGTTTTCGATGTGTTTTGCTGCGTTCTGTATCGGCTCCCTTGTGATATGACGCCCTCAAGTGTTCCCTATTTTGCGGTTTTCTCCCGCGCTATGTTGACGCCAGGTTGGCATTGCTCCTTGTTTGCTCTTTTTGTTTTTCAATCCGCAATGGTTCGTTGTTTTGTTTTGTCGTTGTTTTGTTCAAGCGTTCTTGGTGCTTTTGGTTTATCCCACCCGAGACATTGTTCGGGCGTGCTCAAAGCGCCAGAACGGAAACACAACGACCCAAATAAAGCTAAACATGCTCAACAGCAGGATATTTCATATCGGTATAACAATGTTCGGGTGCAGCCTTGCCCGACCATGACATAGTAAGGAACGCTGGCGCAATGGCAATTTGGATTGGCGCATCCTCCCACCTACCGGGCCAGAGGCGGTCGTGCGCGCGGGGCCTTGCTTCCGACGATTCCGTGAGGGGCACATCATGTTCGCGCAGCGCGGGGGCGCAGCTTTCGAATCCTCCTCGCGGATCGCGGATGCGAGATCACCCTTCGCTCCCTTGGCACACATCTTCGCCCGCAGCCTGCTGATCTAGCACTCCCGCGGCGGAACTGCAAATGCAGCCGCCCGCGCAGCCCGGTAGGCTCGTGTCGTGCCGACGCGGGTGCGCCCAGTTGGGGCCGTGTTTCGGGGCCCTGCTCGGTTCCTCGTGGGGCTCTCGTTGGCCATCTTGCAGCCGCCCTGCGGCATCCAACGCCGACCGGAAGCGGAAAGTGCGAGGAGGCAGAAATCGTTGATTGCCCTCAGGTTCGGGGAGGAATTTTGTATTTCCAATGGGCTTTCGGAGGCTTCGTGGCCACGTGGGGCCGTCCGGGGGTGGTCTTTGGAGCTTCATGGAGGCATGTGAGGAGTTATCTAGAGCCATTGTGGGCAATCTTGTGCCTGCCACCTTGGAGGCCGTCTTGGGCTATGTTGGGCCATCGAGGACTTTTCACTTACTCGCCAGGGAGGGTTCCATGTCCAGGGAAAAGGGGTAGGGGGTGAGGTAAGCCTCTCCCCGATGGGGGAGAAGGGCGCTGGAACAACCCACCATTTTTAAACCACATCGGTGGGTCGGACGGACCGTATGGGATGCACGCCTCGCCTTTGTCCGTTCACGCTGGTTTCGTTTGTGTGCTCCCCCCGGCGCCCCTCACTCATTGGGCCTGCGGTATCCTTGGGCACTGTGTCGTCACGGCGGCCTTCGGTCATGGCATGTTAACGGCGGCGATTGTTCGGCGACCGATTCTACAAGCTTGCGCGTCGTTCATTTCTAATCGTACTCATTTCTAATTCTGCTCGCTTCCAACTGTTCCTGGCCTCCCAGTGGCCAGGAAGAGGCCCGGGATAAAACAATTAGAAGTGAAAGGATCTTGGCCCCCCAAGAATCAAAGAGCTTCCGAATAATTCGAAGTGAGCAGCGTGTGCGCCCCATCCGACGACCCCTTTGATTTGGTCGGGGGGCCTCATATCGAAGGGACCTCGGCCCGTCCCGCCACCGTTGCGTGGGCTCTGGGTCCGAGTCCTCAGGGGTGCTCCCTGGGGTTCGGAGAGCTCTCGGGGACACGTTGCGGGGGGGAGGCAGGCACTTTGGGGGCCGTTTGGGAGTTTCTTCGGGGCCTCTTTGGAGCCTCTTGGGGACCTCTTGGGGCTTCCTGGGGGCCTCTTGGGGGCCTCTTATGGGCCTTTCTCGGCGCTTCCTGGGGGCCTCTCGAAACCGAGAGACGAAATGTTCTTTCGGGTACCCCGTCTGGGCCCCCTCTTGGAGGCGTATTGGGCCGTCTTGGCGGCCTTTTGGGCCGTCTTGGGACCCTCCTGGGCCGTTTTGGGGGCATCTTGGAGGCCTCTTGGACCATCTTGGGGCGATCTCGGGGGCATTCTGGGTCGTCTTGGAGCGTCGGGAATCGAAAAGGCGAGACCGCCAACATGTTTCCAAAACTTACAGGACATCAGTACATTTTGCCTCTTGGGGCCATCTTGGGCCTTATGGAGGCCATCCTGGGCATCTTGGGAAGATCTTTCGGGGACGCGTAGCCCTCTTGGACAGTCTTGGGGGCCTCCTGGGGTGCTCTTGGCTCATTTTGGAGCCCTCTGTCCCCCCATGGCGCGTTCGTATCGGCCCCAGGGGGTGTCAGACTGCCGGTCTGGGGTCCTCGGGGGGATCGATACCGCCATTGGCGTGGAAAAAAAGCCCACCAGGTGTAGTAAAGGTCGACGCAGATCTATTCAGGATCCCCGCGTCTCCCGATTCAATGTTGACAGCGGGGTTGTCTTGGCGGCACAGACCTGGGCGTTATTTTTTCTGCCGATGCTTGCATCCCAGCAGCGGCCGCGAACGCAACATTGACATGGGGGGCCCGGGGGCGGGCCCTTTGAAGTGTCGTTTCTAGATGAGCGCTTTTCACGCCGACAGCGGCACGGGGGAACAATCTCACACGCCTGGGGACCCACAAGGTGTCGGCGGATGACGGGAAGCGCCCCTGGCGTGGACCGCTTGTTGGTGGTAAAAACTGATAATCGGGTACGCGCCGCACTTTGAAACTGCGCTAGCGGATTTTTGAAAACTGGCCGTTTCTCTCAAGACATCCTCCAAAATTGGTCAAGAGGGGACTCTGCATCGACGTCGTGTTCGAATCGCTTTTGGCGTGTTCTCCAACGGCCCACGGGAGGACCAAAAGACGCCCCGGAGAGCCCCAGGAGCGCCCAAGGGCGTCCCAAGAAGACCCCAAGAGACCCCCAAGAGCGCTCTAGGAGCCACCCAGACAGCTCACAAGAACCCCAAGACGGCCCAAGAAGGGCCAAGAAGGCCCCAAGAGACTCCCGGCAGCGTCCCAGGAGGCCCCCAGCGCCGAGACGGCCTAAGAAAGCTCCCACAGAACCCCACGACGCGCCCAGACAGCCCAAAAAGACCCCAGAAGCCCATAAGAGGACCCAAGGGGCCCCCAAAAAGCCCCCAACAGGCCCCAAGAGAACCCCGCGCGGCGCCAGGAGCAACGTTTTTCTCCAATTGCCTCGTACTGTCCTCTGTCGTCGTCGTCGTCGTCGTCGTCGTCGTCATCATCGCCCTCCGCGTTCCTCCTCGTACTCGACCTCGTTCTCTTCGTCCTCGTCCTTGTGCTTCTCTTCCTCCTCGTTGTCCTCATGCTCCTCCTCGCTATCCTCACGTTCACCACGTCGTCCTCGTCATCGACTCCTCGTTGTCCTCGCCTTCCTTTTCTTCCTCGCCCAATACGCCCATTTGACTACAGCGGCGCTTCCCGTTCTTGTCCGATCCGGTGTTTTGAAAACTAGCCGTTTCGCTCGAGACATCCTTCACACGTCGGCCCAAGAGGGGACTCCGAATCGACGTCGTGTTCGAATCGCTCTTGGAGGGCTTTCCAACGGCCCAAGGGAGGCCCAGAAGACGCCCCGGAGAGCCCCAGGAGCTCCCAAGATCGCCCAGGAGCGCCCAAGAGCGCCCTAAGAAGACACCAAGAGACCCCCAAGAGCGCTCTAGGAGCCACCCAGACAGCTCACGCGATCCCCAAGACGGCCCGAAAAGGGCCAAGAAGGCCCCAAGAGACTCCCAGGAGCGCCCCAGGAGGCCCCCAAACGGCCCAAGATGGCGCCGAGACGGCCTAAGAAAGATCCCACAGAACCCCACGACGCGCCCAGACAGAAGCCCATAAGAGGACCCAAGGGGCCCCCAAGAAGCCCCCAACAGGCCCCAAGACAACCCCGCGCGGCGCCAGGAGCAACGTCTTTGTCAAATTGCCTCTTACTGTCCTCTGTCGTCGCTGTTGTTGTTGTCGTCGTCGTCGTCGTCGTCGTCGTCGTCGTCGTCGTCGTCGTCGTCGTCATCGCCCTCCGCATTCCTCCTCGTGCTCGCCCTCGTTCTCTTCGTCCTCGTCCTTGTGCTTCTCTTCCTCCTCGTTGTCCTCATGCTCCTCCTCGCTATCCTCACGTTCGCCACGTCGTCCTCGTCATCAATTCCTCCTTGCCCTCGCATTCCTTTTCTTCTTCGCCCAATGCGCCCATTAGACTAAAGCGGCGCTTCCCGTTCTTGTCCGATCAGGTTCTTCTCCATGCGAGCTGCCGGTTGGAGAGTCCGCGATGGGCCAAGTTTCTCCAAGCCCCATGCCCCCCCCCCTCTCCCGGCCCCTGCTGCTGTCCGTCCTTCTCGTCTTCTCCGTCGTCCCCTCGCCCCTCCTTTTCTCTCTTGGGCAAGCTGCGAGGCGCAAGAGCCTGGAGCGTCAGTGGTCGGCGGCGGCGACCGCCGACGGGCAAGACAGAGCCCCCTCGGACTCAGTTCAGGAGGGAGCAAAACACACAGACACAATTCATCGTCGATTCCCCAGAACATACAGGAAAATATGGGAAGTGGGGGGGAAGATAGAAACACAGAAAGTATGGGACACTACGGGGAATCCTGTGAACTGTGTCTGTGTACTTGTGTGTCCCAGGGCCCCTTCATCAGTGTCGGGAGTGCCGGAGAGCGGCAAAAGGCATGTGGTGGCAAACGCGAAGACTGCCTCCATCCAGCCCAGATCTTGCCTGCCAGCACCTTCACCCCGCCCACCCCTGCCCTCCTCCTCCTCCTCCTCCTCCTCCTCCTCCCGCGTATCTAGCCGCGTCGGCTTCCTGGGTGGACGCCCACCTTGGCCTCGAGCGGCTGGGCGCACCGGCTGCGGGTGCTGGGCACAGCGCGTCGGAGGCGATGGCCTTCAGCGGCGTGGATGCCGAAAGCTTGTTCAACACGCCCTGCATGGGCTACGACTACGACGACCTGGTGTGCGTGCCGTCCCAGTGCAAGGCATCGGTTGTCAAGGTAGACCTCAGCACCCGGCTTTCCCGCAACATCACTCTGAGCTGCCCAATCGTCTCGGCGCCGATGGACACTGTGACCGAGGGCCGTATGGCCATCGCTTGTGCGTTGGCGGGGGGGGTGGGCGTGGTGCACGGTGGCTCCAGCGCGGAGCACCAGGCGAGGGAGGTCAGCATGGTGAAGCGCTTCGAGACCGGGTTCATCATGGACCCGCTCGTGCTCGGGCCCAGCGACACCGTGGAAACTGCCATCGGCGCGCGCCAGGACGGCGAAGATTCCACCGTCCTCGTATGCGAGGGTGGTCGGATGGGGAACAAGTTGCTCGGCATCGTCACGAGCAGGGATATCGACTTCGTTGAGGACCGCGCTATCTGAAGGCCCTGTGGCGACCGCCGCAAGCCCCCCCCGCCCTGTCCAAAGTATCGATGGCTCCATGTCTCAGGTATCGAGGGAAATCGACTTCATTGAGGACCGCCCTGTCCCAGGTATCGAGGGCTCCATCCTCTTCTTCGGCGGCGCGCGCGACACGAGGGGGTGGTGTGAGGGGTCACCCTTCTGTGGAGGTGGGGGCTCTTAGAAGTCATGGGCCCTCCCGGGAGGGCTCTGCCTGGCCTCTGAGAAGGCCTCTCAGAAGCCAGGATGGTCCTCCCAAGAAGTCCCCTGCCTTCTGAGAAGCTTCCTGCCATCTGTGGTGCCCCCTTGGCGCGCGACGCCAGGACCCGCCCTCCTCTTCTCTCGGGCGGTGCTGTTGGGGTCAGCCCCCCGGGCCGTCCTCGGGCCCTATCGGGCTTTCGCCTGGCCCACCAGGGGCCCTCGTGCTGCCCCCTTGGGGCGCACCGGCGCGCTCGTGGCTCCGGGCGCGGCTCGTGGAGCGCTCGCGCGATCCGTTGGCAGGCTCGTTCGAGCTCCTCCTGTGGGCCCTCGTGGGTGGCCTCAGGATCCTACAGTCGGGGCGCTGGAGAAGGAACCCTTTTCGTTGGGGAGGGGCTCGGTGTTCCTTGACTGGTTTACAGTTTGCCTCGGGTTGTCCTTAGGTTTTCCATGGAGAATCGAAGTTTAACTTATGGGAAAAGGGAGCCTCGTTCCTTATGTAGGGTTCCTTAGGTCAAGGCCCCGACTGTAGGGCCATCTTCAGGACTGCGGCCCATCGAAGGCAGGGGAGGCAGGAAGTTGAGTGCAATGCTTGAACGGCTGGGCCTCTCGGGGGCCTCACTGGGCGGCTGTGAGGCCACAGTGAAGCAACCCGTAGGCCGTCTCTGAGATTCCTGATGGTATCCCAAGGGCCATGTCGTGTTGCTGCAGGCTACTTCTGGTGCTCGATCGCATGTCTAGGGGACCGCGGCGATGGCATCGAGGAGTCCTCGCTCTGTGTTGGACTGCTCGTGGGGGGCGCATTTCCCGAGGTCTCCGAGGCGTGGGGGCCTTGAAGAGGACGTCGGAGGCCACGGGGGCACTCTCACAGCAAGAGCCTGGGTCAGGAACGAGTCGGTGAAAAGCGTGCACATTTGTACACGCATGGCCGGCCTCGTTCTGAGGCTGCGCCCCCCTTCTTCTCCCCCTTCTCTGCGTAATTCAAGCTCTGCGCGGCCCGCTTAGCTTCGACCGGAAGAGGTGCGCTCTCGACCCGCGGACCAAAACACTTGTACACGCATGCTTGCCACACCACTTTGGAAGCCGCCGGGTGGCATCTCGTAGCCTGAAGGTTCCACAGCTGGGCCCGGCGGACTAGACTAGCCGACATCATGACGCCGAAGGCGCACATGGTCTTCGGCAAGGAGCCCATCACCTTGACGAAGGCGAATTCGGACCTCGTCTCCTGCAAGAAGGGGAAGCTTCCCATCCTCAACGATGCCGGGGAGGTCGTGGCGCTGGTCAGCCGCCACAACCTCAAGAAGGCCCGAGACTACCCGCTGGCCTCGCGCGACGCCAACCGGCAGCTGCTCGTCGCGGCGGCCTGCAGCGCGCTGCCGGACAGCGCAGAGCGGGTGAGGATGCTCGTCGAGGCGGGCGTGGACGTGCTGGTGCTCAACGCCTCGCAGGGCAACTCCGTGAGGCAGATCGACTTCCTGAAGCAGGTGAAGGACCAGTACCCCAGCCTGGACGTCATCTGCGGCAACGTCGTGGCGCCGCGCCAGGCGAAGCCGCTCCTGGACGCGGGCGCCGACGCCCTGCGCGTGGGCATGGGCTGCAGCTCGCTGTGCGCCTCGGAGGCCTGCGCGGTCGGCCGCCCGCAGGCCAGCGCCGTGTACCACACGGCCCGCTTCGCCGCCGAGCAGCGCTCGGTGCCCGTGGTGGCGGACGGCGGCGTGCGCGGCAGCGGCCACTTCGCCATGGCGCTGGCGCTCGGGGCCTCCACGGTGATGTGCGGCTCGATGCTGGCGGGCACCGCGGAGGCCCCCGGAGGCGCCTTCTACCACGAGGGCCAGAGGCTGAAGCTCTACCGCGGGGCCGGCCTCGTGGGCACGGCGCCGGACGGCGCGGCGCCCTCCGCGGCCGCGGCCGTGGGCGGCGTCGTGGCGGACCAGGGCCCGCTCGGGAACCTGCTGCCTGGGCTGCTGGAGGGGGTCAGGACCGCACGAAAGCCAAGCGACGCCACCCCACCTACGGCCCTCCATGTTGCGTTACGGCCCATGGGGCGCCGCAGCGTAGGCCACGCAGAGACCCACGCCAGACGTCCGGGTATACGCTGCGGCCCGTGGGGCCGCAGGTGGGGTGGTGCCGTTTGCCTTCTGCTCCGCAGGAGCTCCGAGGTGGGGGCTCAGCCACGGCCACCGCCGCGGGGATCGATCTCCGGCGGCCGCGGCGGGCGGTGGACGTGGGCACCCTCTGGCCGTGGGGGGGGGCCAGCTGTCCAGATCTGCCGCCCGCCGAGGTCGCCGAGGATCGATCCCCGAGGGGGTCAAGTCATGGAGGAGTTCCCGCCTCGCACAGGAGTGAGATGCGAAGGCTTGGGGTGGGGAGCATACCGCAGCTCCACGAGGGTCTGTACAGCTCCAGCCTCCGCTTCCAGAGTCGCGGCGCGGGCATGGCCAGCAGCGTGGTGCGTTGAGGCCCTTGGGCGACACGGCGATTCGCTGCAACGCGTGTCGCCGGCCGGGGAGGGAGTGGGTGCGGCCATGTGCGCTCGGAGCGAGCCGCGGCTGCGTTCAGTCGCCCCGCGCTTCTGGCGGCCGTGCGTCCCTGCCCCCGCAGCACGTGAGATGCTGCGCTGAAAACCATGCCGCTTTCACAGAGCGACCGCCGGCGCTGCTGCCCACGAGAGCTCGCTCCCGGCGTGCCTGCTCGCTCCCAGGGCACATCGCGCCGCCAGCGCTGGTGGCAATGACATGCCAGCCACAACTGGGGGAGCTGTGGTCCTTACCCCCCTGGGGGACCCCTCAGTTTCGACACCCCGCTCGAGAGAGATCGTCGATGCGATGGGTTCCCCCAGGGGGGTAAGGACCACAGCTCCCCCAGTTATGGCTGGTCGGAATGGAGCCCATGCACTCGAAGCGTGCCGGCTCGCTCCTGGCGCACATGGCGTTGCCAGCGTTCTTGGCAATGGCTCTTGCAGGGAGCCTCTCTCCGGGCGTGCAGTCTCCCAGCCGGCCCACGATGGCGCTGCCAGCGCCGCCGCCTTGAAGGTCAATCCAGGAGCGCCAGCTGATTTCGATCAACCTCAGGCAGTCATGCCGAATGATGACGTCATTTCGTCATCGGCATCGGCATCGTCACCATGATCGTCACCACCACCACCGCCACCATCATCATCATCATCATCATCATCATCATCATCATCATCATCATCATCATCAGCATCATCATCATCATCCGCATCATCCGCATCATCATCACCACCATCACCATCGTCATCATCACACCACCCCACCCGCAACCACCATCATCATTAGCAGTACCATCATCACTATCATTATCTGAGGCAATCAGGCCAGACGATGAAATCATGCCGATACAGTTGTTGCCAGTATCAGGCTGATGCTTCGTCCCACAGCCAAAGCGACTACTGACGATGCGACCATGCAACAGTTTACGGAAGCCTTGCCCCCCCACAGTGCACAAGGAGCCATCGTGGAAAACGCCGGGCCCTGGCCCTCCAAGCTTGGTCGGGATCCTTGAGACGGCGGTCAATGCAAACGGGGGTCAGCCAGGGCGCCAGATCCTGCAGGATCCTGCGAAGACCCCCTCTGGCTGACCCGGGTTTGGGAGCCGCTCGTGGCCGCGAGGCGGCCGCACATATTGGCTGACCCGGGTTTGCGAAGACCTGCGTTGCAGTTTTTGTTCCTGCATTGCAGTTTTTGGTTTCCTGCTGACCCGGGTCTGGATTGACCCGGGTCAGAAGATCCCCGGCTTGGGAGATACCGTCCGCGGAAAAGGTTAGAAACGTAGGCTCACTCCCGGCGGCCGCCAGTCCCCTCATGCCGCACATGGCGTTGCCAGCGTTGCTGGCAGGAGGAACCCTCGGAGCATGCCAGCTCGCTCCTTGTTGCTGAGAAGTTCACTCGGAGCGTGCCGGCGCGCTCCTGGCGCAAAGAGCGCTGCCAGCGCTGCTGCCATGAGAAGTTACCTCTCCGTGTGCCAGCCCGCCGCAGTGCACACATGTTGCCCTTCCGGCACTGTCGGCATGAAGTTCATTCGGGGTGTGCCGTTTTGCCTTCGGATCACGTTGCGTGCCCAGTTTTGTTACCCAGATTGTTTCGCGGAGCCTGCCAGCCCGCCCCCGGTGTCACGTTGTCAGCAGGAAGCTGACTCCGAGCGGTGTCATAGCAAATCGTGTTCAGTGTCGTTGACCCCAGGCCGTATCCAATCATCGGCAAGGTCTTTGTGGTGTCGTAGTGTGGGGCATACTTATGTTCCAGAGGACTCGAATTGGACTCGGAGGCCTCCTGAAGCCTCTTGGAGAGGTCTTCGTGGATGATGATGATGATGATGACGTTGATGATGCTGATGCTGATGCTGCTGCTGATGCTGCTGATGCTGATGATGATGATGATGATGATGGTGGTGGTGGTGGTGGTGATGATGCTGATCTGTGCAGTCAAATTTGATTAGTAGGCCGACATTTCCAAATCATGATGCCCTGGTGTCCTGTGTCTCGCGTCTCATGTCCTCTGCATTCTTGGGGCAATGTGGCCCCGGGAAGTTTCTTGTGACTTCTCGGGTGTCCTATCCGATCAAGCTCGACTCTAGAAAGAGGATGTTGGGTTCCTTGGGCCTTCTTGCACCCGACTTCGGGCACAGGTCTCGGAGCCGTCAAGAGGGCCTCCTTTTGGGACGGAGGGGGCCTCGTTTCGAGACCGCGAAGGAAGGGGTCCTCTCGGAGCGACTGCTAGGAGCCTTTTTTATTATTCCGGGCTGATGACGGCCGTCATCGGGGGGAGGGGGGGAGGGAACCGATGACGTCACGTTTCGCGCCGGCGGCGTCTGGGAATGTCTAGGAATGACCGAGGACGGAAAGCAGCAGCATGCAGGTGGCGATCTGCACTACAGCGCCTGTGTACACCACAGTGCCTGCGTACACCTTAGCGCAAGTGTACATCACACCGCTTCTGTACACCCCAGCAGCCGCGTGCACCACAGCGCCAGTGTGTGCCACAGTGCCTGCTTGCACCACAGCGCTTGTGTACACCACAGGGCCTGCGTACACCACATCAGCCGTGCGCAACACAGCACAAGAGTACACCACAATGCCCGCGTGCACCACAGCGCCTGTGTACACCGCGGCGCATGTGTGCACCGCAGCAACTGTGTCCAGCAGAGCACCATTGTTGCATATTGAATTTTAGAAGGAATCCTTATGCGAAAATGGAGCGCCTGTTGATTCCACAAACAGATGTTTCACATACGATTTGGAAAGGAATGCGCATTGAAAAAGGAGCGCCGCTGGAATCTACGAGTCCTTCCGGGTCCTCCCGCATCATCCCAACTCCTCCCATCTGCGTCCAGAAGGCTCCCGCAGAAGTGGCCGTCCGAGAGCCAAGTGGACTGATTCAGTAGACCATTCTGCGGTGCACAGTGAGATGCGCACGGGCGCTGTAGCGCCGACCCGCACGACGGGGAAAGGGTGAGGGAGGAGGGGAGGAGGAGGAGGAGGAGGAGGAGGAGGAGGAGGAGGAGGAGGAGGAGGAGGAGGAGGAGGAGGAGGAGGAGGAGGAGGAGGAGGAGGAGGAGAGGAGGAGGAGGAGGAGGAGGAGGAGGAGGAGGAGGAGGAGGAGGAGGAGGAGGAGGAGGAGGAGGAGGAGGAGGAGGAGGAGGAGGAGGAGGAGGAGGAGGAGGAGGAGGAGGAGGAGGAGGAGGAGGAGGAGGAGGAGGAGAGGAGGAGGAGGAGGAGGAGGAGAGGAGGAGGAGGAGGAGGAGGAGGAGGAGGGGAGGAGGAGGAGGAGGAGGAGAGGAGGAGGAGGAGGAGGAGGAGGAGGAGGAGGAGGAGGAGGGAGGAGGAGGAGGAGGAGGAGGAGGAGGAGGAGGAGGAGGAGGAGGAGGAGGAGGAGGAGGAGGAGGAGGAGGAGAGAGGAGGAGGAGGAGGAGGAGGAGGAGGAGGAGGAGGAGGAGGAGGAGGAGGAGGAGGAGGAGGAGGAGGGAGGAGGAGGAGGAGGAGGAGGAGGAGGCGGAGGAGGAGGAGGCGGAGGCGGAGGAGGAGGAGGAGGAGGAGGAGGAGGAGGAGGAGGAGGAGGAGGAGGAGGAGGAGGAGGAGGCGGAGGAGGAGGAGGAGGAGGAGGAGGAGGAGGAGGAGGAGGAGGAGGAGGAGGAGGAGGGAGGAGGGAAGAACATCGCATTCTATTATCAGCACTCCCCTGGCGTGGTGTTTATCTGTCCGCAGCAGATCCTCACCAACTTGCTTCTTCGACCTGTCCTGGGCACGCAGCAGCTGTGGTGTACACTGGCGCTGCATTGCGCGCGGATGATGTGGTGTTCACAGCGCCGTGGTGTGCACAGGCGCTGCGCTGCATGCTGTGTTGCACATGTTTGCTGTGGTGTACATTCGTTGTGGTGTACACAGGCGCTGTGGTGCACGCAAGCACTGTGGTGTACACAGGCGCTGCGTTGCGCACGGCTGTTACAATGTACACAGGCGCTGTGGTGTACATGGGCGCTGTGGTGCCCGCGAGCACTGCGGTTTAGGCAGGCGCTATGGTGCAGATTGCTACCTACATGCTGCTCCTACTTGGCCTCGGTCATCGTTAGGCATTCCCGGACGCCGCCGGCGCGGAACGTGACGTCATTTGCGGGAGGGGGGCAGGGCCGATGACGGCTGACAACCCGGAAAATGAGAAACAGGCTCTAGCCGTCGTGAGCGGCTGGTGCGTCATGCATGCTATGGCCACGTTTTCCGTTCTTCGTCGTCGTCGTCGACGTCGTTGCCGTCGTCGTCGTCGTCGTCGTCGTCGTGATCCTCCCCCTGCTTTCCTCTCTCTTCCCGCCCTAGTCCGTCCTTCTCCCTCTCTCCTTGCCCCTCGTGCTCCCTCGTTCTCATCTCGCGCTTCTCGTCCTTCAGCATCGTGCTTTGCTCCCGCCCCCTCGTCTGCTGGAGCGCCCAGGATGTTCAGCATGTGTCCTCGCAGCGCTCCTCCCGAGGGGAGCCGTGTGAGTTAGGTGCCACGGTGCCGACAGCCCAAGAACTACGCTGCTGACGTGGGGAGCAGGTGGGGGATGACACCGAGAGGGGCTCTCTGACTCGTGTCTTGCGTCAACCACATGTTGCCACCTCTCGAAGAAGAGAAATCGCCATACAATTAAAATCTTGGCGCTCCGCGCGGATTTCTTGGATCTGCACTGGCGCCCCCCTGGCGGCGCCTCCGGCGCCGCCCATGGCGCGCTCCGCGCACCGGGGAGGGGGGTCCAGTGTGGATCCAAGAAATCCGCGCGGAGCGCCAACAGTTTATTTTCATGCCGTTTTTTCTTCTTCTAACCTCGTCGGCGGAGAGTTTATCTCTGAAGCTAGGGGCCGTGATTTTGCCTCCTGCCACGATCACTCCTCTCCGTGACCAGGCAGCACGCGGGACCCTTCAAATACGAGATATTCAGGCGCATGTGAGAAAGAGGTTTGTGAGCAGGTGCTCCACAGGAATGCATGGATCCCCGATGTCCCTGGGGGCCCGTGGGGCACCTGACGAAGTCGAATATCGATGGGACATGTGCACCTATAGTTCTGCTGACAATAGGCATTGCCGCGTGTCGCGCACGCACACACAAACGAACACAAACACACAGACGAGCACAACCACAGCCACAAACACACACAACACAAACACAAGCACACACAGCACAAACGCAAACACCAACACAAACACACGCACACACACACAAACACGAACACCGACACGAACGCAACCGCAAACACACACACACAATGCACACATGCATACATGCACACATGCACGCATGCACACATGCACGCATGCACACATGCACACATGCACTCATGCACACATGCACACACGGATATACATATATACACATACGCAGGCAGCCACAGACAGGCACACATACACATACACATGCACATACACCTACACCTACATCTACACCTACACCTACATCTACACTTGCACACGCAGATGCGCATACACACATACCTATACGACCACCTGTCGGGTGATAAGGAGGCTGGAAAGGGGGAAATAATCACAACCATCAAAGGACAACTCCGACGGAACACTGCGGGACACCGACGAGACACCGACGGGACACCGACTGGACACCGACGGGACACAGACGGGTCACCGACGGGACACCGACGGGACACCGCTGCGGGACGCCCCCGGCCACCGCCCGCGGAAACCGACAGGACCTCGACGGGACAACACGGCGGGAGACCACGGCGGGACACCCTGGCCACGCTGGCCTTCCGCAGGGGCGGTCTTTTGTCTTGACCCGCCTCAGCCAGAGCGAAGTCATTCCCTTCGCCCGCCCACGCAGCTTCGCCTCGCCCGCACTCACCCTACGAACCCGAAACCGAGACCGATTTTCCAGTGGGGGTTCTCCGTTCCGCTGCGATCTCACCCCCCAGCCTCCGACACATACCACACACCACAACACGCACAACACACTCCACACACCATACACAGTCCAACCACACACGCACACGTTTCCGCGATCGTGACCTTGCGGGCGGTGACGAGGCGGAGCAACACATACAGTTACACATACACAAACACATACACATACACACACCACACTTTTTTGGTCTGCGGGTCGAGAGCGAGCCTCTTCCGGTTAAGAGTTAGGCGGGCCGCGCAAAGCATTAATTGGGGAGACAGAGCGCAGGCGGGCGGGGCCTCAGGCGGCCGGAGGGCGCGGGGTGCAGGCGGTGCTGAGGAGCTTGCACAGGAAAAGGTACACCTTGGACAGGAGCCGGAGGCGAAGTCCCGGAGGGTGAGCGGTGTGGTGTTGCCGTCGGCGGCGCGTCAAAATCACTATCCTCAAGTGCTGCGTGCGGAAGGACGTGAACAGGTCGACGTCCAGGGGGGAAGAAGTCCACCATGAAGGCGATGAGCAACGTGTGCCACCAAGTGGTGAGGGGAGGCCCAGGAGATGAGGAGGACCACGAAGACGATGTTCAGCGTTGTGCCACCGGGTGGTCGGTAGCGGCCTGGGGTGGTAGTCCAATCCACGTCCAGGGAGCAGCCAGCAAGAGGTGCGGCCAGAAACAAGGCCGTCCGTGCCCGACTTGATGTCGGTGGTGTGCAGGGAGGAAACCTGGCCTGCACAGTCAGCGCGTGAATACGGGCGGGAGCCACACACGATGCGCTGACGATCGCATGGCCAATGGCCGGGCCTGAGCCGCGCTGCCCAGGGCAAGCGAGGCCGCCGAAGCGGCAAGGTGCAGTGCCCAGCACCGGGCTGGCGCCGCGCTGTGCCGGGCGCCGCCGCCATGGGAGGGGGAGGAAGCGAGCGGGGGGGGGACGAAGCGAACAGGGAGGAGAGAGGCCGGCATCCCGCGCCAGCCGAAGTCGCGTCAGCTTGCACCGGGGTGCTCACGTGGGGACGAGCCCCAATTGGTACAGGTAGGTCCCATTGCAGGTAAAAGGGGTGTGCCACGCAAGTCGCCGGTGCACCACTGCGTCGCAGATGGGAACAGGTGGGACACAAAGTCCCAGATCCTTGAATCTCCTTCGGCAGATGGGTACAGGTGGGACACAGAGTCCCAGATCCTTGAATACGGGAGAGGGGGAGGGGAGGGGAAGGGAAGGACGGGGTCCAGGTGAAAGGGTGGGTAGCCAGCCAGTGGAACGCGGGCGCCACAGGGGCGATGGGGTGCAGGTGGTGGGGAAGGGAGGGACACACGGTCCCCAGCCAGGTGAGAGAGTTGTGGTGTGGGTCGGGGTCGGGGGCGCAGGTGGTGGGAGCGATTGGCTGATTGTGCCGTGGTGCCGTGGGGCAAGAGGTGGTCGGGTCGACGACTGTCAGCGCCACGGGCGCTTTCCACTCCAGGTGTCGTGGTACCCGGAGCTGCGCGCCTGGTTCCCGTCGCGCCCGTCATTCTTAGCGACCTCCGTTTTCCTCTGCACGTCCTGGTAAAGTTTTTGCTCCCGCTCCCAGTCCACGTAGGCGCCTGCGATGCGGGACCACGCCCCCACGTGGTAGTTTTTGGTGCTCATGTCATCCAGGAATTTGTCGATGATCCAATGATGCCAACGGCCCGGGTCGAAGGGCGCCTGGTCTTTGGATTTGCCCTTGCCCTGCTCCTTGCACATGTGCATGCACCACCAATGCCAGGCTGCGTTGAAGTGGTATCCCCCTTCCGCTTGCAGCCTCTTCAGGTGTGTTACCGCTGTCTCATTTGGGAGGCGCTGCCATCCAACGCGGCTGGCTGGCGCCAGGGTGCGCTACCTGCGCCCCTGCCCGTGTCGTGGCTCTGGTCCCAGTAGCGCTCTTCGTTCTGACCCAATCCTTGGCGTCGTATTTGCGCCACGGTGCCCCCGTCGCGCCCTGGTTGCGGTCGCGGTCGCGGTCGCGGTCTCGCTCTCCTGTGCGGGTCCGGTCGGCCTCTCTGGACTCGCGTCACCGCCGTCGCGTACGACTCCCAGGCGACTGGCTCCCGCACCCTGCCGCGCGAGCGCTTTAGGAGGTGTGCAGGGAGAGGGGTGAGTGCAGGTCGTGGGTCCCCCAGGCCTTTGGAGCGACTCCGCGTGTGCAGGTTCCGGTCGTCGGCCGCGGCCTCTAGGCGCAAGATTGGCTCAGAGGGTGCGTGGGCAGCCCTCTGGTCGGTACAGCGCGGGTCGATATCGGGGCTGGTGTGCCGCTCGTTCCGAGGACTCGTCTTGGCTTGGTGCTCTTCGACTGCGTCCGAGTCTGACGATGAGGAGACGGGATGGACCTCGCTTTTGGCCTCGGCGAGGCGCAGCTTCTGCTCTTGTGCCTGGTCGTCATTGCCCCAGTCGGGGTCCTCCTCCTTAGGGGGCATGAGGGGTACAGGTTCGTAGGTGGGGTCCTGTGTGTCGGCTTGCGGCGGATAGGGCTCGAGCTTGGGCCTGTCCTGCATTCCCTGAGAACGCCGCTTTGTCTCCCCCGGTGTCGATGCCACGCGTGAGGGGCACCCCCACGCGCACACACACACACACACACACACACACCACACGCCACACAACACGCAACACACACACCACACAACAGACACAACACACACACACACCTAATATCACACAACCCACACCACACACCACACGACACAGAACATGCAACACACATACATACAAAACACACGCACGCACTTGTTCGCGATCGTGGCCTCGCGCGTGGCGACGAGGCGGAGGAAACACACGCACACACAGACACACACACAAACACACACATGCACAGACACACAAACACACATGCACAAGCACACACAGACACACGCACACACAGACACACACACAAACACAGACACACACACAGAGACACACACACACAAACACACACACACACACACACACACACACACACGCCCACCTAAACAAACACACGCAGACGCATACACACATGCACACATAATTCGTACCAAACGCAGGTGAGTCGTGTAGACAACGACGTTCGGCCTTCCCTGACCCATGCGCGCAAATCTGAGTTGGGACATCCCATCCTCCCCCCCCTCCGCCCGCCCCGCCCTCTCTGCTCCTCCTCGCTCCTCGCCCCTTTTTTCTTGCCTCCTCCCCTCCTTTCCCCCCCTCCTCCCCCGCCTCCTATCCCCGCTTCATCTCCCCCCATCTCTCGGTCTCTTTTCCCCTTCCTCCCCCCATCGCCCTCCCCCTCTCCCCATTCCTTCTTCGCCCCTCGCCCCCC